CATTTCCACCTGCACAGAGCATTTCTTGCTGATTGGCTGTTGGGATTTAACTTGATTAACACCTGCACAGAGCATTTCCATACTGACAGTATGTCTTTATTCAAGTGTTTTGGTAGGTATTTCAAGCTTTTCTGCTCCAGCATTGGAATGTGGGGCATGAACTTTTTTTTTTTATTTTGAAAATCAACAGTTTGCATTATGCAATTAAAAATCCTAACCAATAAAGTAGGGAATAGCTATCCAACTGTTGTTTTAGTTGTATGTTACTTCATATTATAGTTATATCAATGTAAATCATTGTTTTCCCTTGTGTTTCTCATTCTTTCCCTGCCATGTCGTAAAATGTGGTGAACCCATCGCTGTATTTGCTCCAAAGCAAATATTGGCCTTTCTAGTTATATAATGTATTGCATACTTAGAAAGGATAATCTGAGCTTTACGCCTGTGGTTAGGGTATTCTCGAGGAACCCTTGCGTATCATCCTGAGCAGGACAATCTCTTTACCTTCGTCGTTGTTCAATATGCAGTACTAGTGTCCTACGTTAATGACACTGGATCTGCACAGTGACGTGTGCTATTTCCTGTTGTACCCTGAGCTAAGGCGCGTGACTGAGAAACTCCGCCCATATCTAACCTATGATTAATGTCGACATGACAGACTGCAGGTATAAAGTGGATAATATTAACGACGTCCTCAACCTGTTTCCCATCCATGTGCCTCTTCACACGCGTCATTGCAGGATTGATGACCCGCAGCAAACCGATGAGGATGAAGCAATTGCAAGAAATGAACATCTGTGATGAGTACCAGGTTAATGATTCTGCAGATGATAAAGATAATGGTACCAAACGGATGCACATCCCGATGCCTCAGCAGACGCGTCCTTGCAGTAACGGTAGCTCCATCGCCCATGTTTATTCACGTCACGATTGGATGAATGTTCAATGACGTGAGAGCTCCTTTGATCAATCAATCGCAATCTGCCAGTCAACCTTTGGGATTACGGCTGAATCTGATTCTCCTTCAAAAGTAACCTTCAGAGTTCGCCAGATCATCCCTTGATGAGGAAGGTGAATTTAAAGTTCAGGAGATAACAAAACCATGTATGGTCTCTGGACTGAAGCAAACGTATTCTTTTCCTTTTAACCTTTCGTGGTATGTACACTTGGGAAGCTCTTTTGCTGCCTCATATTCCTTTAGTCTTGAATTACAACCTTCACGTCTCTCCGGCTAGCTTTCTTGTTCTAAACGGACTGCAACGTGAATGAGTTTTGAAAAGAGTTCATTAATTTCTTTTTCCCCCAAGGGGACACAAAGTGGCAGAGCAGTGTTTGGTAATCCTCATCATTCATTTGAACGGTCACGGTGCTTTCGCTTTGAAAGCACCAGTGAATAACTCAGCGTATAAACTCTGTAAGTCCTATTTGTGATCTGTTAAGCATGCCTAAGGCTGTCCGTTCATGCAGTGAAAGAGTATAATCACAAGTGTTTCTCTCTGTACGTGCCAGACCAAATAAATGACCTCTCATCGACATGCTTCTAGATCTCAGAGTAGCTCAAAGGTCAACGCCAATTATTTTCAATGCTCAACAGTTCGCATTCTGGAAGATAATTAGTTCCCTCGACGTTGCTTGAATCAATTGCGCCAAATGAGGAAACTTCTTAACGACTTTTCAGTCAACTTTTGTCAATTTATTTGTCTAAGTATACAATGTTCTAAACATACGCAATAGGCAGCATTACTAAGGCAAGAAAGCTGGATCCATTGTCTAAATTTGATGGGGAAAGCCCAATACCTTTTTGTCCAACGTATTATTTACTACACCGTTCTTCCCAGACATTTCAAATATGATGATGAACATCGAGGTTGCATAATACAGGTTATGTACTAGGTACATAGCTCGACTGTGAAACACTCAATCTTATGATAACGTTCCTATACTTGGTCGTGTGTTAATAAGCGTAAGCCATACGTCACTCCACAGTCGCTTAAGTACCCCAATAGCGCAGCAGTAACAGGACAGGTACAATAAATCCTCATTGTCCATTAGATGGAAACTTATGTCGACCTTCACACCTCCAGACTGCAGCGTGCTGCCCACAAACCATTTCCAGTACATAAAGCATCAGTCTTCAGTGCAGAGCGTTTTTATCTTTCAATAGCAAATGACTCGTATACATATAGCTGCTGGACACTCTCCTATCGGAATTTCTGAATTCCTTGTTATTGACACGATTAGTCATTTCATCCTTGTAGCCTGCCTCCATATCTGCATGCTTTCGTATTCATTCAGTGCACCTTCAGAATTAGAAGCTTTAAGTATGCATAGATTTGTGCAGGTCGTATACAGACCTTATAGAGAAAATTACTTTCTTCGGGTTGCCAATCATCGTTTCTGATCAAAATGCAGGAAGGCGTTTTATTCTGCATAATCAAAACACAGATAGACGTTTTATTATGTATAGCCTGTCGTTATAGCCTATCGAGGAAACACATTGTATATCCAATGCTTACGATGCAAAGCAACGATTGCATGACATTGTTGCATGCAGATTGGCCGGTGTATCCAAATCCCATGTTGTATTTTTTTAATTGTTGTTTCCCTGGAAATTACAATTGATTGCTTAACTTGGAATTGCGAACAACATTTTAACGGTTGTCTGAGGAATGTACGTTGTCGAAAAGCTTTAGTATTTTAAGCCAATCATTCGTAAATGCCACTTTGCTCTTGTTCGAATGTAACCTTCTCTGTAATGTATACGTACTTTGGCACAGGACATTGACGCTTTTAAAGCATAGAGCACATTTGAATGGGAAGATCATGTTTTTCTTGGAGGTCTTCGAGGTGGCGTGATAATGTACTTGCCACCGTGCGAGTGATCGATGTTGTTTTGTGTAACTTAAGTCTAGAAAGTGCCTGCGCTGCATTTTATGCCATATAAAGTGCTGTTCAAGGTCCTTCCTGAAATGCCAACGCATTTTGATCGATCGCATAAAAGTCTAACGGTAGTTTTCCTGCTTTCAAGTATTAGAAAACATTTTGCAAAGCTACCTTGAGAATAGGTGAAATGAGGCATCTATATGGATGTTTGAATCGTTTAAAACCCCTCCAGTTCATTTCAGGTCATCCTGTGAGAGATGACGCCAGCTTTTCCACAAGTTCCCGCCAAGCATGACAGAACGAAGCTTGCCTTCAGACAGGTAGTAAAGACTAAAGGATCAGTAACCGGCACCAGACATCTGTGGAGGAGGTTCATCTTCCACTGTATTCTGACGCCAAAATACGCCGAAAGAAATGTCACCATAGAATACTTTTTGGTTGATAGTATGGTCTACATTCAATATCCGTACCCTGATGCTAGCTATAGTCATAAGCCCATGCTAGCTATAACATAACCAACTTTGACGAGGTATCTCTTACGTGTATCTTACGTTGAAATGAAACGGCCACCAGAAAGACTATTTGACTACCAGCTGAAATATGGACATTGCATGACTAGAGACTAACCTAACCTAAATTTACGTAACGTCAAAAAGTTGTGAGAGTTCTGAGAGTGAAATCTGAACAGACGAAACAAAGTTCATACCAGTATACATACAAGTAACCGCCAACAATCTACTTCAAAACCTTCATTTCACATCTTTCATGAATCAATCCCCAGTTGGGATGTCAGTACCAGTGAAACACGTGCAGCTGACATTTTCAAGGATTCTGACGCGACCTTCCTGGCGGCTTAAAACACAGGCGTGCACGCATTTCCTGATCTACTGGGGACATTAGGGAGGGGCTGATCTTCTGGGAATCGTAATACTGGAGCTAAAAGCGACAAGGCTTGAAAAGGGCATGAAAAGGGTCATAAGCAGCACGCTGTAAGAAACAGTGGCAGATATGGGCGGAAAAATGAAATACATGAATCCTACAACTCTACATACTTACTCAGTCAGCATTGTTGCTTGCTGTCTTTGGAAATGAAATATTAGTGAAGGACTACTGTTTCGAAACGAAGCTTTAGCTCTGTATTGCGTTAAATGCCTACAAAGATATTTCTTGCTAAACATTTTTTTCGTTCATGTGGTTCTACTCTAGAATGTTGCAAGAAATGCACGTTTGACGAGGAGTAATAACACAGTGGTGAAAACGTTGTATTTGTAGTAAAAAAAACTAATTCTAGGGTCACCAGGAATGAGATGAAGAAAATGGGAGCGCAGCTATTAAGGAGGTTTGGTAAGTTTAAGTCAATGACGGAAGTTAAAGAATGTCTGTCTCACTCTACAACTTCTGGTACATCGATCATAGATTTCTTAGATATGCTCGGTCATGGGATCACTTGCCAAATGGTTCATTTGTCAAACCTCCTCGACATAATTACAATCAGGACAGGAAAGTGTTGAACGATTTTCGCTCTTTTTTATTACAACCTATATTTCATCTATTGTATGTTACGACTGTAATATATATGGATATGCGTCTTCATATTATGGATGATAAAGTTTAGTACCTCATCGACATTTAGGTCTGCCAGAAGATGATAACCGTTAGTTGCCTCTCTGTACGGTCCTTTGTGTTTCTTAATGATCAAATCTTTCATTGCAACCGCAAGCAACGTCAGGGTTCATCAAGGGTAGAGTATATACGGCAGCATTGAAAGAAGTGCAAGCGAGAGAATCGAACTATTACAAAGAATAAGTGTCCAATGTCATAAATAGACATTCATTTATTCGTCTTAGCTTGTTATGTATGCATGTAAGGGATTTTCATAGAACTCAGAAGCCCCTTAGAGGTACTCGTATCAAGCAACCTAGTTTCACTGTTTCCAGCCTAGCTACAGTGGAAGGGTGAAGCAAGTCAGGTACAGAAATGTACGAATCCCAATGTCTCTCTCTACTAGTTAGAGGTCAGTGTTTGGAACGGAAGAAGAGGAAACGTAGCAAAAACAATATGTTTTCCTTCGGTAGACGTACATAAAAATATATTGCGCAGAAAAAAGTCTGTCCTACCGTGATGCAGCAGCAGCTGGTGAACATGTTCATGGCGTCCACGGACAGCACCACCCGGCACATGACGTCACCGAACGGCCAGTCCACCAGCAGGATGGACACCACGAAAAACGGCAGCGACAGCATGAACAGCTCGTCGGCTGCGAAAGAACGAACAGCAACGATTTATCAAGAGGTCCCGGGTTCGAACCCTGCCATGCCACCGATCTTGTGCCCTTGGAAAAGGCACTTTACACGACTTTCCTCACTTCGAGTTGGCAAAGTTGAGTGTGCCGTTAGCACGTCTTGTGATTACATGTTGGAATGAATAAAAAAACGCTTTATCGTGACAATGATGTCACCTAATCAATGATGTACAAAAATGTAAACAAGACGTCCATATCATGAAAATCATCAGCATCAACTAGATGCAATTTTTTGTTTAACATTTGCGCGACTGTAACGTGTATTTCGACAAGGTTGAAAGAAAGTGGATAATCTAGTGGCCATGGCCAAATCAAGTGTCTTGTACTGACGCCGGCTTTCTGATTCTACTGTCATGGTAGAAACGAACAAATCTATTACTTCTTTAGTAGTTTAAAGACAGACTACGACCATCGCAGCCTAACACGTGGTATAAAGTTAACAGAAGGGATTTTTACCAATAGCCAGGTTGAGGATGTAGATATTGGCCACCGTCTTCATCTTCTGAAACCGCAGCACGACGGAGATGACGAGGGAGTTCCCGATCAGCCCCAGGATGCAAACCACGGAGTACACGATGGGGATGGCGATGTCCACCTCCGGCTGGAACATCGGGCCCGTTCCCGTGTCGTTACCGGGCGAGAACGTGGTGTTTGTCGGGTCCTCGAGGAAGGAGTCCACCGCAGGCGTTGTCTGGATGGTGTCGGTCATCCCGGATGGGCCTGGAGGGTTGGAGGGAAGGACTGTCACGGTGGTGTTCGCCGTCCAGGCCTGCAGTAGTCGCTCCATCAGGGCGTCCATCAGGCTATGGGTACATTCTGCAGAACGATAGTTTAATTAAGTCTTTAAGTCTTATTAAAGAAGCAATTTTCGTGCAAAAACAATACCTGGGCAGCAGTTATTGTGTATAGGGAGGTATGTATAGGCTTCATCGTGTCCTCATCACATGTTGCCTCATCTTCACTGCATATTTCGACAGAGATAGAAGCAGCCTATTCATTTTTCAGCCTATTACATGATGTGATCTTCAGATTGACTCATCTTACTGCTCTGTTGAACCTGAACAACTTATGGATGCAGGTTCGAAAAACACCAGAACAACATTTGCTTTGCTTGCGATTGACAAGGCCACGCCATCGCTAATACCGTCTGCTTGCTGATTTTTGGTAGAACTTCTGAGCAACTACTTTATATTGAACGGTAAAAAAGATCAACCATTCGGGACTGCAACAAGGACATTCAAGAACGTCTGGCCGACAGAGACATGGAGAATGATTCTACTGCAAGCCCCGTGATTACCTCTGTGTAAAGAACCCTCTCGACCAGCACGTTGTTAATGAAATACCCAGGGTATACCAGGACTTACCCATTGTGACATTTAGGTCTAAATACTACCCCCAACACTAACCCAAGGTAATCCCAACTGCCCTGTGCATGCAGAAATCGACGCCTGACTAGACGGACGTCATACTGGTGGTGATGATGGGCCTTGAAACGCATGCTGAATGCAGCGTAGAGAGCGTGTGATGAAAACTGCTATTCGCTAAGCGTTAAATGGATTTCCTACCGTTTTGATGCGGTATAATGCTCACGTACGTACTTCAAGAAGTTCGTATCACGCGATGTCAAAGTTGGTGACGCTGACTCCCAATGACTCAACCTAATCCCACAGATGCACAAGACGTTAGCTTTTCGTCCTGTCTAAACTTATCCTATGGCCTCCAATGGTCAATCATGCAGAGTTCTTTTCTGTGGATCCGCTCTCCTTTTGCATCAGTCGACTTTCTCCCGAACTAAGCTGCCTGGACAGTATCTCCATCTGGAACGGTAATTTGCAAGGTCTTCCCACTGCTCCTTATTAATATCTATGGCTTTTACGTCCCTCTTGCAGACATCTTTCAACCACATCTGTGGCCGCCTGGCGTTTCTCTTTCCTGACACTTAGCGTGAGAGTCGTGAATACCGTATGTGAAAGGGAGCCTTTGATGTAGATGGCATCCTTTGTCTTCCTCCTTACACTATAACTATCATTATCTGCAGATAAAGTAGCCGCGTTTTCAAAGTGAGTAGAGCCTAGGTCTCCGCATCGTATGGCACCAACGTTAAAATCGTGTTTTTCTAGATATTAGGGGCATTGTTCTTTTCTAAGATTGCCCTATAGGCTGCAGAATACAGACGAGTCCATTATATATATATTCACAATTGTTTCTGGACAGGAAAACACTATTTCTCACGAACACTTGACTGCGGAAGACGTTTTACGAATAGCTTTAATTTTGTTGTTACCTAAGGGTAGTAATTCTCGTAAGATAACCTTTAAGAACGACCGGTGTATCCAGTGATTTGATTGCTGTGTAGGCATGGAAATGCCTTCTGGAATAACTCAGAAGTAATAATCCACTTGTCAGGGGAACGAGCACGGTGGTAAAATCTGGGTTGCAAAGTTCCCACATGCCATAGAACCCGAACTGTGTTCGATCGTGTTCGATCTGGGCAATTCGAATCGAACCCGCGTTCTATTTCGGGGTCACCTGCGGTCATTTACAATAAAGCGGCAAAACAAGCCTTTCTGCCTCCGTGCCGTGCAACAGATAAAAAACAACACTTTTCTATAGATAAAAACAGTTTCCTGGACAGTACGTGTCCGCTATCATTTTTGTGTGGACATGTAACATGTAGCGAAGCTACTGTCGTATCCTTGGGTGACCTTGAATACTGTAATGATTCTTTACGCCAGTATGAATAACACAATGCAGACTTTTGGTCGACTTGACATGTCTGCAAAACTCGTTTTAACCTGCAAGCATGGAAAGTCAAGCATACCCCATTCACGGCTCAAAATGACCGTTACGGTTGTCCCGAAAATCGTGTTTTAGGGATTTTTTTAAAAATGGCCTCAATTTTGAATTATGGGTAATTTAGTGCGAAAAATGTAAAGAAAAATCATTTTTTCAACAATATGTCGACAAAAACTAGACTTAAAATCAGAAATTAAAAAATCCCTAAAACACGATTTTTGATCTTATTCCTAGTCGTCGAAAAATATAAAAATCGGGAATCTGGGGTAATATACGTAGCCAGGTTAAAACGATGTTTGCCTAAAAACATGACATGACTTGTGGTCGGAAATCCGAAAAAAATCGTCTTTCGGAGCGAAATTTTGAAAAATCAATGATTTAACATAAACAGCTAATACTGAAAGGATGTTACGGCAATAATTTCATTTTAATTTGACGAAATTTACCATTAAATCCTTTTTGTTTATTTTGAAGTGTTTTACTGGTAGGCCAAACTCGGCCCAAATAGCGTCTTGTAATCCGATACCTTTTAGAACGCGCCTAGCAATGGGAAAGAATACCGTAGTGACAGACCGCCGTGGAGTGATGGCACGGTGGGCATCGCCGGTAGGCAGTCCTGCTTTACCGGGTACGATAACTATAATCCACCCGATACATATCCTTTTAATGACAGTTTGCCGGCAGGTAGATCGTGTGAATAGTTTACAGTTGGGGCATTCAGCTTTACAGTTGGGGCATTCAGCTTTACAGTTGGGGCATTCAGCTTTACAGTTGGGGCATTCAGCTTTACAGTTGGGGCATTCGTCGGTATCAAAAGTTACTACAGGATAAGACCTTCGCCCTGTGTAAAAGCCAATCGGATATTTCAACTGATCTTTCCAACTTTCGCGTCGAACCAACCTTTATAATACCGGAAATCATAAGAAAACCAGACAGCATATGCAGATTCGGTGACACCCTTTATAAAGCTCCAGTCAGTAATATCAGTCCTGAAAAGGTTTGTTAAGCAGTGCGGAAGTCGTTATCGATGTATTTTATGTAGACGTGTCACCTCGAAAGCTGCTTGATGCATCGTCTGTCGGCGGTGGCTTCAATCTGGTCTGAAATCTGTAGTTTGTCGCCGGAAAGACAGGCTGTGAAATCATGTGAGCAAATGGCAGATGGAAAGTGTTCTTCAAAATAGGTTCACGGTTGCTGATCTCAGCAAATGTGCGAGTGGAAGACGCTTTGCTGCATGCAGAGCACGTCCATACAGGCTTAACTTCATCCAGACAGACTCTGACAGTTTGGCAATCTGCCATCTTGCCGTGTGGCGATTTTTCTTCAATGTGTTTTCCTTAAATTAGAACTAAGACATCCGTTGGGCAATGACTCTAGATTTTACGTTGCTATGTGCAGATTAGGATTATGTTAATCTGCACTCGGAATGACAAAATGTGTGCGTCCTGTTTGCATACTGTGTCTACTAGGAAACTGACTAAGATACACATTTATACAATCCAAACAAAACCGTACCGAAATTTAATTTAGTGGTCTCTTTGTGTATAGTTTACAAGTCATGCAGTATACAATCATGTTCGAACTGTATGCGCCAAATGTAACTGCGGGTGCAAGCATAGCATTGACGCTCTGTGATCAATACATGTAACATCAACAGCACGATCTAGTCAACAAATCAAAATGCTATAGATCTAGCCAGGCCACCTTAGACCCAAAGAAAAGCATCGCTGTGGTCAAACATGATATACAAAGGGGTTTAGCAAATACCTTGCCATTTCATTGATTCATTAAGTTTTAAATGGAAATCTAGAGCAGGAATTGGTAGTTGGACACGCTTGAGGTTCTGTGGGGAGATACAGATTGTCTTTTGATGAGTACGTAAAAGTGGGTGATTACCTATCAAGGGATAAGTACCAGATTCTGGTCACCAATTTTACGACGTAGGCACAAATCCATCCATCCGCAAGCTTGACCACTATAAGATAATAGCTAGAGTTATCGACATCGATTGCTTTGCCATTTAAACATAAGACCGTAAATTGTACAAATCGATAGATAAGAGATAACATATAAAGATAAACAAGAACTATATATAGGTTGTGGGTGTTAGCACGCTTTTGCATTCTTTAGTGCACCGATGGTATTCATGCTTCTAACTTTGTTCAACCTGTTCACAGCCTATCTTTGTCTTGTTGTCGGCAAAAATTGTCTTGAATTGCCCATCTAGTCCCCTTTCTGGCAATTTTGAACTTAACTTTGAACTGAGATGATTTACAGATAAAACCAATGCGGGACACTGGGTGCGTTTATAAATCATCAAGTTTTCTTTTTTTGTAATGATGTTACAGTAGAAAACAAATGCTCAATGACACATTAAATCCCCGAATGTGCTGAGAGACAGAATGAAGGACCTCTCTATCAGTAATCGTTAATATCTAAGCAATAAATTTAGAAATGTGATTTCCGGATGGAATTGGGCTTGTATCTCGACAAAGCTCCTATATCCTATAAGCCACCTCTACTTCACAGCAGCTAGATACATTTGACACATTGAATGAGTTCAGAAATATGAAATACGACGGTCGTGCTGCGGTTGTTAATGGTGACCTGGTGTCACCCCATCCCAGTGTTACCTGAAAAGTTAT